AAGGTAACATGACATAGCAACATAGCAACATAGCAATAAAGGCGAATTAACATGACAGATACCCCAGGAGCCCGAAGGTCACCGAGTCGGCTCCGCCCCGCGAACATGCCGGTTTCCCGATTATCTACCCCCCGATCATCTATCTCCTGAGGGTTACAGAAGCGGCGGCCCCGAGAATGTGATTATGTGATTATGGGACGGGGCTGGCTGTTGATAAGGCTGTTCGTGGTTGCAGATGCGGTCGTTGCGATAGGGGCGGCTAGCCTCGTTCTGGGGTTCGGGGAGACAAAATCGGTGTTTCGAGATGATGAGATTTTTCTTTGTGTGTGTAGATGAGGCCCGAGGTATGGGACCTTGGATTAGCGTTGAGGAGGTGTTATGGGGCCAGGGAGATATGCAGCCGAGGGAGGCGAGTCGTGCCATGGTCGCAGAAGTGGCGATAAAGACGCTGGTAGTATTGTTGCGACATAGAAGCAGAACGTGACAGCGACCAAAGACGTCGTAGTAGTAGTATCGATTCCACTAGATAGTAAGAACAACAACACAAAACACAAAGAATCTACTCCGCCATAATATGCCCCAAAGCAATCATGCAACATGTACATCGTCCCCCTCAACCCGGATAGTCCCAGTTATAATGATAGAAATACACAAAGGTATCAAATCCGCGAAAGAAAACTCCAAAAGCGCCGAGCCCGGAACACCGACGCTTATCCGTGTGCGTAGAGAATGCGTAGTTTTGCGTGAAGAAACGATCGAGATGGAAACCAAAGCCTGAAGACAGAGATGATCATACGCGTATTTGACCAAGTTCGATCTCGCGCCTCCGCTCTTCTCGGCTGAGGTTGCGCGAGTGACTGCCTCTCCCCTCTGTACTGGACGGGCGGTTCTCGCTTCGTCCGCGGCCATATTGTGTCCATTGTTCGCTGAGACTATCGGGTCTGCTGTCTGACCGGTCGCGGCCCCAATCGCCATGTGTTTGTGCAGGCGTACCCACCAACTCCTGACTGTGCTGATGCCTTGCCTGTAGTTCCCTGTCTTCTGGCAGGTCTATTCTGAACGTGGTGTTTATGTCAGGACTCGGTCGCGGGTCTCCTGACTTGAGGAGAAGAGCCATTTGCTGGTTCACGCGGTCGTCTTCGGAGTATAGGGCGGCGGGTGGCTGCGAGGGCGAGCGCATGGCCGTAGGGTACATGTTTGGGATGAAATTGTTGTAGTAGTTTTGGTCGGACCAGAGGTTCTGGCGTGTGTCGGTTTGTCGCTTGGACTTGACTATGCGGCGGTATGTCCAGAGGAGGAGGGAACTGTAGAGGATTGTTCCGGCGGCGCTGATGACGGTGCCGCTTATGGCGGCATTTCCCCAGTGATAGTTGGGCGAGGAGACGAAGTTGTAGGCTATCGAGATAAGGCCGAGTGCGGAAGATGTGAGCGCAGGTCTACATATGAGGTTAGTATTCCGCTGTTGGTGGAGGCATGGAGGCCTTACAGGAAGACGCCGTCGGCTTGGAAGCGCTCATTGCGACAGGCGAAGCAGAGCAGTGCTGTGAACGAGTAGCCGGCTGTAAGCAGCGCGACAACAAAGACAGAGAGGACTGCTCGGCTGAACTTGAGCTCGTAGTCTTTTCTGTAGAGGCCGGGCAGTATGAGGTAGCTTCGAGGCGTTAGCATGCTTTCGTCTGAGCCGCCTCGAGACGCATCGCAACACTCACCCTCCGAGTATCATCCATGACGCAGCCAGGGCTATAAGGCGCCAGTACCACGGCGTGCCCTCTCTCTTCTCATGGCCCGACTCGCTGATGTTGTGATAGCTCTTGTTGCTAGAGCGCATTGAGTCGGTGGTTCGCGCCTTGGGCGGCGGGGTGCCTGGTTCGCGTCTCGGGTAGTGCCTGGCGTCTCTGCTATGACTCTCGCGCAGTGGGAGCGAGCAACCAAGAAGACGTCGGCATGCGCACGATAGATAAACGAGTGACTGTGGCAAACGTCGAGTCTAGGTATTGTCGAATTCCAGAATGCGATATGAGCCTCACTGGCGCCTGGCTCTCTGCTATTCAGCCTGACGCGGTGCAGATCGCTTCGGTCCGTCAAGTGCAGGTGGATAGCCGGGGCGAAGCGGCAGGTGCACGGCGCAATGGTTCCAGCTGGTGGGAAAAACAACAACGAGCGACCAGAACAAGATGCCGTTCGTTCTTATTGAATAGCAACAAGAGCAGAGCAGTAGCGAGCGAAGACGTGGGCTGAACGGGCGGTGGGAGAAGAGGGCGCCAACGTGCTCGTACTTCGCTGAGGCGGAGGACGCCTGCATGCCCGCTCAGCCACTCGACGTCCTGCTGAGCATTGCTGCACCCCTGCCGACATGCCCCCCGTAGATCAAGATGGCAGTGAGCGTCTTCAATGCAGTGCATTTGACATCGCAATAAAGACTTGCTTGTTGATCAGCGGCTGGGCCTCTCGTCGCGACCATCGCGACTTCTTCCGACGCTCCAACAACACCATGAATCAAGGCCTCCAGCCCGCGACTCCACTTCTCTTTGTCTCTCCCGCCTGCCCAGGGCGACCCCAGATTCCAGAACGCGTCACCTCCAATTCCCAGCCAAGCCCTCTGCCCATGTCTGCTCAATCTCGCTGACCCGCGCCGCACCTTGGGTAGTGCAGCTTACTTTATGAGCCACCGCTTCTTCTCTGATTTGCCTGCTTCCATCCTTCACTTTCCCTTCTGTTGCAGCGCTAGCCACTCTGTGCTCGCCGGTAGACACTGTTGCCGGTCAGACATGACGTCGTCGCTCCTATCGCAATGGGAAATGTTGCGACCTCATCATGGACCTTTTGTCATGGTGTTGCGAGTTGTTGGCGGTATGAGTCGGGGTCATGGCACGGGCAGTCTGCCTGGGTTGGTGTCTACGCGGTTCCGCCTACAATAGAACAAGCCGAACGGCACAGCGTCAGACTATTGATCTTGAGCAGAAGCGCATCACGTCTGGACTCTGTTACCTTACAGGACGCTCTCTCGCAGATTTGAGAGATTCACACGCGTCGCGTATAGCAAGTTTAGGCCTACAGCCCATTGCATAGCCTCGTGCACGTAGTAACCCAGCGCTACATCGTGGCATAGTACAACATCACACGCCACGAGAATACTGTTCCACGCCGATAGGATACGGCATGAGCCGACGGTCCAGCCTCCACGATACCCGGATCATGGTGACGGACATGCGCGAATGGGCGTCAACACTGCCTTTTCTGGCAAATATCTTGTGCGCGCTCCCCTCCCCACCTAGGCAGATTTGATAGATCTGCATATGTATCTTGCGATGATAACACACTGCACCTTTCGTGACTCAACTCGAATTCATACAATGATAGAGTGTTCTCTCGATCCCCGTTCTACACAATACAGGCATGCGTATGTGGCAAGATGCGGTATCATTCGCGATGCTGATCCGCGCACCTGGTTCGAGCTGCAGGGGCAGCTTCCAGTGCCTCACATGGGCATGCGTGTCATCGGTAAAACCACACCGCATCTTACCTTACAGTACACACTCATCAGCTATAGGTCCTTCCGCGATCTCACTGCCTGAAGATTCGGGATCATTTCTTTCGGGGTCTCCACCAAGAGGCCCGTTGGCGCTTCGGGTTCAGGGGCAGGACACTTGCGTTGATATCGGATAGGCCGAGGAACACTTAATTAGGAGAAGACGTGATGACTGGAGCAGGCAGCGGGTATCGGTCTTGTCGCTGTTGTGATGTTTGTGGATGTTTTATCACGGTTTGTGAGTGCCGGGAATTTGGGGCTGGGAATGCAGGTGCCACCGGTCCGGTTCATGCCCCACCTGCAAGCGGGAACCACGTCTTCTTTTTCAATCGGTTCCTTCTGCATGGACTGGATACAGCGCAGCGCTGGAGGCAAAGATTGTTAAACGACAATATTATTTGGATTGCTGCTCCCTTCACCATCGATCCGCCTACTCAACCATCTGGTTGATCAATCTTCAGTAGTATAGTGGTCAGTATTTCCGCTTGTCACCTATCAGGCAACTCGCGGGAGACCGGGGTTCAATTCCCCGCTGGAGAGATGTTTTTTTGCTTTTGCTTACGGCATGCATCATAGGGTCGAGCCTAGGGGCAATCAAGATGGGAGTCGATGCTCGCCTGCCACTTCCAAACCTCAACCACCACAACTCCCCACCACCATGCTGGTAATTGCAAAGCGACGGCCGCCTCATATTTTTTTGAACGTTAACAGTGCTGTCTCAAGATGTTATCAGAGCTAGGAGTGCTTCTGCGGCACACGCGACGTGACGCAGCATGTCACTTTTATGTTCCGCCGTGCGGACGAATGCGACCGCATCTGGTCAGCTTCTTGACGCGATTGACTCCTCATGTCATCGCCCCGTTGGCGCATCGACCTAAGAAACTCTATCGGAACACCATCGTTGTCCAAGGTGATGCGGCTTCTGTGAGACTCAATCATGGAAGGCTAACTCAGAGTTGGATAGTCTCTACATAGCTACGAGCGCAGAGAGACAAGATGTGATTTGAGACACCCCCTTGTCCAAAAGTACCTGGCGAGTGCGGATGAGTCCACCGTCTTGCAGGTGGTCGTCACCTTGTCAGTGAAAGCTAATGCCCATCACCTGTTGTTTCATTAACGCATAGTCGGGTCACGATCTAGCTTTCTGTCACTACCTCAAGCACGAGCTCCATTCACGCCTGGTCTGAGCGTTTAGTGGAGTTTTACACGCCTGTTCCATATAAACACCCCCTTTTGGTGAGTAACTCTCACTATAACAGCTCTCTCCTCAACTTTCGTACAAGGATCTGAGCAACACTTCGTTCTCAGCCCTACACTTCGACTGGTTTGTTTCACACTCAACCCACATTTTTGAACTACCAACTCACTTGTTTCGGATACCTTTGTTCAAAAGCTGTCCAACCTCAACCATATTTGGCCGCAATAGCACAGACCCACAAGCTTTCAATCAGTCACGTACGCAGTTAACAAGATGTCTGCTACCAACGCCAACACTGATGTATCTGGTGCCGCCCCCGCCGACAGCACTAAGACCAACATCTCTGTCGATGTCGCTAAACAGGAAGCTCTCAAGAAGATAGCTACCGAAAAAGAAGCCAAGCGCATCGAAAATGTTGCTATCCAGAAGAGAAAGCTCGAAGCTGCTAAGCAAAAGGCGGCGCAAGAGTTGATGTCTAAGGGCAAGAACGCGATCCTCAAGGCCCAAGCTAACCGACCTTCACGACGACCGGCGAAGAAGAACCGAAAACCGCTTCCCCCTCCTGCCAACCGGACTCACGAGATCGAAGCGAGTATGGAGAAAACGAAAGCTAGTGCTGAAGAGAAACGTCTTGCCCCTCTGCGGGTTGTTCGCCCAAGCTACAGCTACAGCGATATCGTCGAGCAGCGCGTCGTCGATGGTGTGGTTGAGCGCATCGTTCATACCAACCATTCTGCGCATGAGTCTTGTGCCGCCCACAATCACGACGATGGTACTGAGCAGCGCATGGCAGACAACGAAACTGAACCTACCTTCCGGTCCGTTGATGCGCCCGCGACTGCCCAGTCTGACACCGACGTTGAGTCAGATAGGGCCACGGAACCCGATACTGGGTCAGACGAAGACGCTCCTCAGCTAGTCCAAGAGCTTACCTCTCCTGAGCAGGTCACTGTCCCTGAAGACGATGACGATTCCACCGAAGCTGCCGGTATCACTGCAATGCCCCACATCTATGTCACTGCTCCGATAGATGACCCGGATGAGAAGGCTTCAATGTCTGGAACTTTTGCTGAGGCAATTGACACGTCAACCGAGCCGATCCAGACAGCTGTTTTTGAGGAGTCTACTTGCAGCCCTTTGGCGATCCTGTCGATGCCAAACTCGACTCTTTACCCTTCGCGCCTATCCCGCGACGAAGAGGCTAAGTCGGTCGCTATGCACGTCGCTCCCATCGTACTGCCGGTCGCTGAAGCCAAGCAGCCGAAGCTTAGCAAAGCGGAGAAGAAGGCCGCTAAGACATCTGAGACGTCTCAGAAGGTGGCCACGACGAAGTCCCCCGTGGTTCAAAAGCTCCAAGGAACCGACTATGCCCGAATTACCTTTGAGGATACAGAGCCCAGTGTAATCCCGGATGAGTCTGATCACGTTGCTATACTGCTTGCCCGGCCCAATGGCTCTGGTGTGACCACAGAATCTCGCAACCTTCACGAGAAGCTCGTCGCGCTTCATGTCGCTCCACCTTCGCTGCCAGTCACTTTTCACAAGCAGCAGAAGACTCCAACAGCCAAGTCAAAAGCTACTAAAGCTGATCAGAAGAAGACTGTCACTGTTGAGAAAAAAGAGCAGGACTTTGTCGCTTCTCTTCTTTCCAAGCCTAACGGCCCAGGCGAGACCAAGGAGGCGCGCGACTTTCATGAGAAGCTGGTTGCGCTTCATGTCACTCCTCTCTCGCTGCCAGTCATTGCGCCCAAGCAGCAAAAGATCTCACAGGCCAAGCAGAAGGCTACTAAAGTTGATAAGAAGAAGTCCATCGCTACGGAGAAAAAAGAGCCTGACTTTATCGCCTCTCTTCTCTGCAAGCCCAACGGTTCGGGTGAGACAAGAAAGACTCGCGACTTTCACAACAATCTCGTGGCTATGCATGTAGCGCCACTCGACGTTTCGGTGTCCATACAACAGGATAGGAAGAAGAAATTCGAGAAGGCCCACAAGTATATTGAGACTTGGACCGCTGACCCTGATGCCGTTGATGCAATGTTCACCAACATGGTGCCTCCCATTACTGAGGAGCCTATCTCTGCTGTTGAGGAGCTGGGTACAGACGATGCAACGCGCGACGAGTCGTCCATCGTCATTGCGACTCCCATCCAGGGATTCTGGCAAACTGTTCTTTCCAAAATCCCTGACACCGAACCCATCACCGTCGAGCAAACGGTAATCATCCCCGACTCATCCTCGGAGTCCGACACCATAGAATCATTCAGAGCCTCTAGCCACTCCTCCACCCACTCCACCCCATCCATCCTTCGCGCAGCCTCAAAAGCACGCACAACCCTCCTCGGCGCCACATCCCTAGAAACCTTCATCACCACCCTCGACTTCGAACTCTGGGACGGCACAACGACCAAAGGCGATATCTGCGAGGCCTTCGCTTCCTTAGCTAATCACCCCCCAACTACTACTACTGGTCTGGATACCGCTAAGATGCAGCGGAAGATCAAGCTAGGTAGCACCTCCCTCTACGCGTTCCTGCATCAGATTACTTTCATGGAAGATGACGTGACGGTTGTGGGGGAGGTGATGAAGGTGTTTAGGAAGGCGGCGGGGGAGCAGGTGACGGAAACGAAACTGGAGGTTGCGCTGTGGCTTGCGGAGGAGACGGATGAGGGGGAGGGTAGGAGAAGGGGGAGGCGTGAGGAGCGGGCTTCGATGGCTGGTGGGGTTTAGGTGCGACGGTGTGTTGGTGGCTTAGATGCTCAGGATGTGGGCGTGAGTAGTTTGGCTGCTCCTTTCCTTTCCTTTTCTTTCCCAAAAGTTTTGCACGGGTATTTTTCATTGTCATTGTTATGGGGTAGGTTATCATGGTTTGAACGAGCGAGGCGTTGGGGACGGCGTTTTCATATTACTATCATCGCTCTAGGGTACTAAAAGCTAGTCGTTCACATGGGTTGAGCTTTAGGCTTTGACTCGCCTGGCGCCGGGTTTTGAGTTGGCTTGTCGCTCCCTACTGTGGGTATTGGCTTAGCTATTCCAAGAGGTTGATCATGTTTCAGTCGAAGTTAGCATTTGTCTTAGGAAACACAGGTATCAATTCAACTGTAAAAGTTTGCATACTTCATGGAGATGGGGTGGAAGCAATGCGATTGTAATCGTGGCAGTTGTAACCTGTTAGTGTATCGAAAGATTATCAGACGTGCACATGCATGAGAGAAAAGCTTTGTGTTCATGACTTCATTCATATACATCCATCAACACTATTGATGTGTGCGATGCTATATACAGGGTATTCGTACGACTGCCGCAGTGGCTCAGACCTTCTGTTCCACGCGGTGAGTCTGCTGCTCAGCGCCACCAGCATTCTCCATCTGGTACTCAACAGCCTTCTCACCCGACTCATCCATGATCTCAGCCATGCCACCAGAACCCTTTGTAAGCTCGGCACCCTTGCGACCAATAAGGTGCCAAGGAAGGTTGAACATCTCGTCGAGAGACTCGAGCGACTTTCCAGAAGTCTCGGGCAGGAAGAAGTACACCCAGACGAGACCGACGGCGGTGACGCAGGAGAAGAATAGCATAGTGCCTCCGTGGGTCATGGAAATGAACATGAGAGGTACAGCCTTAGAGTTACCGTACTGGTTGACAAAGTGGAATGTCATGGCGATGGAACCACCGAGAGCACGGAGACGGAGAGGGTAGATCTCGGAGTTGATGAGGTACTGGATCGAGTTCCATCCGAGCGCCCAACCGAAACCGGAGAAGTAGATCATGACGATGGCGCCCATGGCAGCGTGCTTTTGGCTGGAGCTCTGGGGTACGCCGTCGGCGACACCGGTGTCGATGAGTAGGAAGATGGCCATGTAGAGCATGGATAGGAGTTGGAGTGTGATACCGGTGGCGAGAGAGCGCTTGCGGCCGAGGAAGTCGATCAGGAAGAAGGCGCAGATCATGGAACTGACAAACTTGACAACACCGAAGATGGCTGTAGCGAAGAGCTTCTCTTGTTGACCGCTGGTGCCCATCATCTCAAAGTACTTGGGAGCGTAGATTGTGATGGAATTGGCTCCCGACCATTGCGATAGCAACTGCGACAGGACAGAAAGCTGAAGGCGGTAGAGGTTGGCCTTGCTGGAGAAGAGCTCACGGATGGGTCCGAGCCAAGATGTACCCATAGTAGCTTCGCGCTCGCGGTTGAGCTGGTCGTTGATGTCCATAATCTCCGAGGTGACGTAAGGGTGATCGGCGGGGAGGTTACGGAGTTGCGCGAGGTTGTCGAGGGCCTCCTCGTGGCGGCCGACCTTGATCAACCAACGAGAACTCTCCTTGGCGAACCAAGAGAGGGTGAAGATGAGACCGGCGAACATGATGTGCATGCTGTTGGGCACGAGCCATTGAGCATCAGTGGCAGACGAGATGTGGATGGATGAACCCCATGATGCGAAGTAGGCAAGCATGATGCCGATGTAGACTGACCCAGCGAAAGCGCAGACACAGAGACCACGGATGGCCCTGGGCGCAGTCTCAGCTAGGTAGGTGGGAGCAACGACGGTGGTCTGTCCGATGCCGATACCAGCAATGAAGCGGCCGGCGTAGATTTGTCCAACGGAACCAGTGATAGAGCTGGTGAGGAAGATGACGATGCCGATAACCCAGACAATGCAAAGTTGGCGAGTAGCCCAGAGACGACCAATCTTGTCGGTGATGAAGAAGGCAATCAGGGAACCCAAGATGGAACCCATCTGCACCATGGATGTGATGTTCGATAGGAGCTCCGCGATCTCGTGCTCGCTCTTGCTGCCGTCTTCTTCGAGTCCGAACTTGCGTTTGAAGGGGTCGAGTTCGGCTGTAGTACCGATGAGGCCTTCGTCGATACCACGAGCAGCGCCCATGAGACCGAAGACTAGGACGAGTTAGTTGGGTGTAGTCTCATTGGAGGTGACATGACCTACCGAAGACACCATACCAGAGACGCCAGTTAAGGCTCTCCTTGGGAGTGTGCTTCAAGTTCTCCTTCCATGGGTTCCAAACGACCATGATGGGCGATATTGGTATAGGTAGATCGAAGTAAGGTCGTGATTGAGCTGCGGAACCTACGTCTGTCGGACAGGGAGGAAAGGCAGTGACGACTCAATCGTACAAAGGCGCATGTGCCTCTTATACTTGAACTGATGGTGGGGTACGAGATGCGGAGATCCTAGATGCAAGGCCTGTTAAATCACACCATCCATGAGACCCCAGAGTCAACCCCGGAAGCCTCTACTCCACGTTTGTCCATCGCCAGTAGCGGTCGGCGTCGGTCTTCCGAGCCAGGAATGCCGGATGACCTTCCCAACTGTGGTTTTCCCAACGTTCAATAGGTCGACCCGTCTCGTCGGCCATTGCAGGCGTTGAAACTAACCCTTGCGCAGTAAGCGGACCGCTGATCGTCTGATCAATTACCGATCAAGCGGCCACGCCGGTCGCCTCTCGTGTCTCTCACGGCAGCGCCATCTGCACGTAGGTTACATGCCCAGTAAGGAGGCGGAAAGGTTGGCAGGCTTAGGTGGAGAAAGCTTCCTTGTTCGTGCGTCTTGTGGAGCTTGGGGCCGAGCTAAGGACTAGTCAAGAACCTGGCCACCACACGATGGGAACCCCGCATTATCCCCCAAACGCTCTCGTGTCCCGGATTTCTCTTGGTCTCCCACGTTAGCTGTCAGTCGAGAAAGAGAAGCTTGTCAAGCTCCTCGTAGCGGCCGGGGAGGTGCCGTAAATGCATGCCGCGCTATTGGCTGGTACCATCCCGGGAAAATCTCGCACGCGGGATAAATTACTACGCTATTCTGACGCTGCCTCGCGACGAGACCGTTCGCCGGCAGAATTATGACCGAGAGGAGCGTCGGAGCAGGGTGTCGGCTTCTGAGGTCAAGCTCCTGGACGAGACCTCGTCTCGCGGCGGTGTGTCGACATAAGCGATGCGGCTCCAACTCCTTCAGCCTTTTCCAGTAGCGCCCGCGTTGTGACTACCCCAAATGGTATCCCGTCCCTCCAATGCATATGCCGTGTGGACTACACTATCGGACATAGATACGGCGCCTGCAGGATATTCTGGTAGAGCTAACGGTGCGCAGGTGTGAGAATGTGTCGCTTCTTCGGTCGCTCTGGCGCTGATACGAGTCCTGGTTGTCGGAGCCTCTGATGGGTCGTAGGACAATGATCCGACTCTTGGCTCTGTACTTGGCTCTGTACCCCAAAGTCCAGCAGGAAGGTTGTATTCTGCCGTAGTGGCAGCTGGATCGTTGAACCCACAACGGCAAGCACAACATCTCCAAGCGCTTTGTTGTCTTGACGAAAGCCCAGACCGCGGGGGTTCTTCTTGTCTCCACAGAGCTTTGCATTCGCAGTGCATCGTGTCATGCGATGCGAAGAAACAGACAGGTCTAGAGGTGTGATACGTCCACCACCCCCGGTCGGAGCTCCGAGGGTTATCGGTGCGAACGCAGGCGCTTTGACTTGGGGTCTCCACACACACGAGGTGCGCGTGAGATGGTTAGCGAAGACCAAGATTGCCATGCCTTCACCAAGTGCTTGTGAACAGCGCAAGCCGTTGTGCCAAAGGACGCCCAAGTGCTTGTCCTAGACGTCAACAGAGCAACATTCTTGCTACATCGTCTTTCTCGTAGGCATCATCGAAGTCATGTCCTCTCCTCTTAAGCGCTGCGATAAATTTGAGAATCATGCGGGCATCCTTCTGGTCCACAGCGGGCGAGATTGATCGGCTGGTCGGCGATGCCAGTGGGTCTAATCCTTCCTCTTATGCATCGTGTATACAAACGGCTACCGTCGAAGCCACAAGGATCCAAGTGTCGGTGATTGCCGTGCATGAGACATCTACTGAGGTGGTGTTGTGTTCAATCCCCGTTGCCGGCTAGGTCGCCCTCAACAGACATTGGCTTTCGTTCAACACATCTATCCAGACATCGTGTGCGTATGTCCGCGGGCGGAGGTGTTGAATAATCGGGTGGATACGGACGCTGACAAACGCCTCTGAACTGATTAGCCGCCTTGGAAAGCATATGGGGTGGAAAGCACGCACTTACGAGCTCATTGTGGGTATCAACCAAGACGGACCAAGGCGCCAATGTTGGGGATAAGACCCATTTATACGTCTTGTAATCACAACAACTGATTCATGCCGTGCGGAGAAATGGGACCCGGGGTACGAGGTTCACATGTCACTCTCACTGGACGCCTGAAGGGTCCTGTACGGTTATCCGGAACTAGTTGTGGGGAGAGTGTGACTGAACGTTAGATCTGGGGTGATGGGAGAATGTCGGTGTGTTGGCGGCAAATGAGATGGCGAGATGTTTGTAAGCGGCAGTTAGGCGATGAAGCACGTGTTGGTATTGTGCCGTGGCCCCGATGGAAGTGGCGACCAGGGAGTAGACGCGATGGAGTGAAGGACAATCTAAGGCAGGTGCGATAAGACGACGGCTGCGCAACAGTGCGCAGTGAACAGCACATCACGCCTTCAGCTCATACCGTAAGTAAGTGTAATTGTTTTTTCTCTACCTGCACTGCCTTGGTATCGAGTTATCTGCAGAATTGCTGGCATACCGATGTCGTGCCATCCTGTCGACATCGTGCCCGGATTCCCGGAAAAGGCAACCGCGGACCCTCTATGCCGAGCTCGCTCAATCTTCCTCAGAGTCCCCCTCAGCATCCTCATCCTCCCCCACAAACCTAGCCCGCTTACTCGGACTAACCTCGCCACCATCCTCGCGCCCTCTCTTCTCAGCCCTGGGAGTGCCTTCGTGCTCCTGCGCCCACAGCGCCAACTCCAACTCCTCGATCAAATCCACATCATCAGCGTCACCCTCCCCTTCAACCTCTTCCCTGTTCCGAGACTGCTCTATTGCCATCTCTAGGCCCTCATCAACCCTCGATGCGCGCTGTCGGTAGCAAACGTTGCCGTTCTTGCCGTGCTCGTGGTAGCGCTTGCACCATGCGCCTTCGGTGCTCTCCTCGATCTTCAGTGTGAGGTTCCTGCGGATCATGCGTAGGCTTGTTTGCATGATGTCGAAGAGGAGTTCGGGGTGTAGATGAAAGCCCTTACGTGTGACTTTGCCGATGATGCGCTCGGTCTTATCGCCGCTCAGGGCAAGTGCGTCGGCCCAGAGGAGTCTCGCTCCACACCTAGGTGATGTATACGTGTAAAGCAAGTTGAGGAGGTCAGTATGGACTGACGTAACATCTTTGTCAAGTTCAGGATCCGTGACCTCCAAGTCGTAGTCTTTAGGAAACTGATCAAACTCCGCTGGGATGTTCTTGCCTTTCCGCCACGCCTGTTGTGCGACTCGCTTGCGCCGATTGAGCGCTCGGTTCGGGAGCCAGATTTCCTCCTGTTTCTCTTCCTTTTCTCCGTCCTTGTCCTTGTCTTCTTCTGCCTTTTTGCGCTTGTCGTGGAATATGCGGATCCATGTGTCGGCAACCATGTCGCAGAGATCCCAGAGCTTCTCTTGGTAGCAGACAATGTAAATTTGGGTAAGGGTATTGGCGCTGTAGGGTAGGGCCTGATATGGGTTGGCGGCATCGGTGAGGCCGGGAAGGTCGAGGTGGATCTTGGCGTTGCTCTTGAGGTTACTCAGAATGGAGTACACATGTCGGTCTGCTATGAATGGGGGAGGTTCTGCAGACGATGCACCCGCCCTGTCTTGTTCGTCTGCTTTGCTAGCGGCGGCGCCAGACGGCTTGTAGCTCTTGGGTGGACGACCTCTTGGCTTTGCTGTCTTTGGTAGCTGCTTCATCTGCTCCTGTGCCTTGTGTGTGGTGTATGCTGAACAAAGGTCAGCAATCTGGGCTCATAACACAAGAGAGATAAGCACTCACATGGATCAGTCTCGATGGATCCTCTGCCATCGTCTCTAGCATCTTCCTCAGCCTGGTCAATGAAGGCATCGATCTCGCTACCCTGAGCGGCGTCGTACTGGTTTGGCTTTTGGATCGCTCGTCCAGTGCGAGTCGTGACCGGCGCTGCCTCTACGGATTGCTGAGGAAGGTCGTCGTCTTGATCTTCGCTCGCGCCATATGTCGGTGTCGCATGGCGCTGCTGCGCTGGGCTATCCGATCTTCCCACCGACGGCTTCAACAGTAGCTTGGGTCCCGGTCTATCGGATTCAGCTTCTGGCGCCGGTGTCGCTGACTTCAAGGCTCTGCCTTTCGGTCGGCCGCCACCACGGCTACCACCTTTGGAGCCACCGCGAGGACGTCCCGGCGGCTTTCCCGTCGTGACTGTCTTCTGTTTACCCATTGAGCTGCCGACGAAGATTTTTCGACTGATGCAATTCTGCGACGAGCTAAGTAAGTGATCGGTCTGCGGTTGAGAACGAGGGAGTAGTTGCGTTGGTGTTACAGACGCCTAGTTGTAGAAGAGAGAACCTAAGAGGACCCTTGTAGCCTATTCTGCCAAATTGTAGTGAAGGTGAGCGGTTATTGCTCGATGCGCCCAGGTACGCTAGGCTACCTTGACTGTAGAACAATAGAACGAGCAGGCATCTGACCGTATTGAGAACATTAAAGCAGCGCAACTCCTCTGATATAGTGAATACAGAATTGGCGTAGGAGCTCGCGCGCTCTCGAAGTGAGAGTGAGATACTAAGCTCCACCGGGAACGTCATCAAGATGATCGGTCGTGCGCTTTCATCACAAACGGTATTGAGAAGACGAGAGATTGGCCTGCACCAGTCCATAAGAATGGAGAGTTCCAACAAAGTCTATCATGTGCAAAGGTCTAAAACATGAACGAAGAATGGAACCAACAACAAACCTAGAAACCAAATTCAGCCCCCGGCCCAGGGTAACCTTCGCGTCTTGACTTCAACTCCTTCTCCTTCGCCTCGTATCTCGTATAAAGCCGTTCAGCTCTCAAGACACACTCCTGACAGAAGATGACGCCAAAGTCCTTCTGAAGATGAATTGATATGGGATCCCCCACGCAGGGTTTCCCAAAGAGACAGTTCTGACAGCAGGGTTGTGGCGCAACACACCAGACCTTGTGGCCACACTGTAGGCTGTGCTCTTGGAGACCGGGTTTGGGAAACGGTGCCGCCAATAAGGTCTCCACTTGGTCGTCCGGGATCTGAAGGGCCGCTACTATTTCTCCTCGTGTAAGGGCGAGAGAGCGTCGAGGTGAAAGTTGAGGAAATTCTGTTGCTGGCTTTTGAGAGTGGTAGTGATCTACTGGAAGGCCGTGGCAGACCTCGCAATAGATGTAATCCGGCCGCGCCGCCGTGTGGATAGAGGGTAGGGGACCGGGGAAATTTAGACTAGAAGAGGATGATTTAGCAATTGAAGGAACTTAGAAGTTGTGTCGATGACGTACGGGTGGGAAGTAGACTTTACAACAGTATCTGAGAATCGTGGGTTGATTGGGTTTATGGGGTATCGGCAGTTTCTAGCGCATCTTGTATCCTGCGAATCAATAGCGACAACATGGCCGTAGTGGAGGAGATGAAACATGCCAGGTGCATTTGAACCATCATTGTACCAAACGCCGATGCAGGGCTCGATCTTCCGTATAGCACGTGTGACTTTCTCGCCGCTGTTTTGTGGTGTCTCCCGCTTTTGTTGGTCCGTTGGAGCTGGACAAAAGGACATGTTGAATGATAGCGAGGTTGCAGATAGCGAGTACTCGTAATGGTTGATAGCTGTAGAAGAGAATTTCCCTGGGATGATCGTTTGTCGAGCGTCCAGTAGCAATATTGATAAGTGCTTGCGGGGCGGTTGTTTAGACAGCCGAGTGACCACAAGGTGCAAACGCGCGTACGAATAACGTGAAAGTGAATCGAAGAAGTGGAAAATTAGGCAGCAAGTCCGAGCTCCCCAACAATACTCTTGCCTCCAGTTTCATTTTCGCGACAGCTCTTGACTGACTTTCGAACACCGCCGGAAGTCGCAATGGCAGCGAATCAAGAGGACTTCGTCCGCATCGGCTTGCGCGCGACGACAAGCAGCGATGATATACCGACGCTGTGTGCAATCTGTCTTGATGAGCTACAGTCGGGCCAGGAGGTTGACGAGATTCGTCGTTGCGGCCACACTTTCCACAAGCATTGCTTGCTGGCCTGGCTCAACTCATGGAACACACAGCATAGCAGCTGTCCGAACTGTCGCCTGCCGCTCTTTCCGAGTCGCCACCCTCTAACTGTAAGCATGGTTTATAAAAGCAATCCAGGCGCATTCGCTAATCGTGGCGACACAGCCACCCCCAATTGGTGTCGATGAACAAGGAGATCTGGCGGGCCTATTCACGAGCTTAGACGAACTAAGTAACACCGTGTCCATGCTGGGAGACACGGTGGTAGCTTTTCGCAACCACAACAACCTACTCCTGAGCGAGCTTAGGCGCCATAACCTTGATGTTCCTGATGCATCGCCAAGCGACCCTCGATTCCGACGTGCGTTAGAAGCCGTTCACGAGTTGAAACCGGTGCCTTCATGTATCATGCCCGACCCGGCAACAGGCGAATACACACCTATAGAGGAGCGTTATCGCAGACTGAAAATCTTGGAAACAGACCGAATTTCCGGCATCGCTCTCGAGGACCGCTGGAGGAATCGCTCTGCGTTCGTGCGCGACCTGGAGCGATTGGAGCAGCTTCGTCTCCATCTTGGTCCCCAACCGGCTTCAGACAACCGTCCCGAGCCAGGTCTAGACCAGACAAGGTTGCTTATCGAATATGGCGCCCTCTTGAACAAACTCATGCCTGACAACTGGCACTTCACTCCCGACGAGACCGGGGCTATGCGCAGCGAATGGCTAAGGGGTGCTGTTATTGGCAGCTTTGATCGGGAGCTCCTGCAAGAGACAAGGTTGTTCTCACTTCTCTCGATCGCAACTGAGAGGGACACCAGGCAAGCGCTTGAGGGTATTTCGGAACGAGCAGTAAGGTTTATGCTTGCAGACTACAGACACAATTGGTTTGTGAACGCAGGCATTTTCCGTCACTACATGGCCAGCGAAAGCCAGTTGGGTGGATCATCGACTGTCGTACCTACACCACAGGCGTTCATGGTAGAACGCCCAGCACGACAGCGAGAAGTGTCTTCGTCGCGTCCGGGCGAAGGTAGTAGATGGCAACCCGGTATGTCGCCGTTCAGGTCCTCGGCCGCTCAGAGCCAGAGTATGAGAGTTAGTTGGTTCGATGAGATGCCGCGTGGAGCCAATGCAGAAGCTCTGCTTGACCCGGAGTATCTCCAGTGGCGGCAAGAGCAGGGTGAACCGTCAAGATTCAACAGTCCCAGAGCCGTGGGAGGAGCAAGCCGTACCATGAGTGCTGAACCTGTCGCTGCACAACAACAGACCCGGCCCGTCGTCAATGGGGGTAGCAGTACGTTCACACAAGTGCCTCGTTCACCGGACATGGACGAACTTGTGCGACCCCCCCAGAACAGAGAGCCAGATCTTCACCCGGAGCAGATGAGTCAGCGAGGAGAAATCCATGAGGCCATCTTCAGCGAGCTGCAACCGCTAATCCCTGGACCCCAAGCACAAACAGAGGCATCCAGACAGTGCCCTCGCCAGGCCATTCACGACCGCAGCGTGCAGACCAATGTGAACGCCATGGGTGCTCGGATGATTCGCATATTCCGACACACTCTTCATCGGCGCCGGTCACGGTAGAAGAAAACATCGTAAGCGGCGAAGATGGAAGTCATGAGGGAGGCGGAGTCAAAGGTGTGAGCGACAGACGAGATCAGAGAAAGGCGAGGGACATGAAGGTATAGTGACCTGCAATATTCGTGGAAAGACAAATTCCAATGCAAGCCAGACTCGTGTTCAGTGTTTGATGTTGACCTCAGGTGATGTCGTATCTAGGTGGTGATGTGTGAAGCATGCCGAGGGGAAAGTTGGATGACTGAGCGGATGACTAAGCCACCAGCTGCAAACACGCCAAACAGCAGGGAAGGCGGGTGTTCGCTGATAGGTGTAGCCCGCAGCTATCACACCTCACTCACCCAGCGCGCCTGCTCGTCTAGTCTGCCTCGCCATTTGGACTGTGCCTGCTAATGGAGACGCGGCTGCTGCTCCTACAGGACGCTGGACTCGCTGGGGGTGGCTCATAGCCCGCAATTCCGAAAGGTACCCATCCAATTGTCCCGCCCCAAGCATGCCACTCTCGTCGGCTATCGCGAAACATCCCGCCCGCCATGTCTGACGGCGGCCCTGGGCACCTCCAGCCGCCGTCTCTCTCTGCCCACGACGTGTCGCCGCTGATGGGCTCGCTCTCTAATGTGCTCGCAGGAACTTCTCACCACGCCGGCCACAGGTTGCCCACCATTCAGCCTGCATCGCCGCCGAACAAAGGCGCGCCGCACGCTTCCACGACGCCCCCGCGCCCTGCCTTCTTTTCCGTAGCCAGGGGCCACCCACATGCGACTGCCATTGCCAGCTCTGGCTCCTCGACTACCGAATCCTTCTCCGAGTTGACGTCGTCGTCGTCACGGGACTCGCTTCCCAATCCCCCCGGGCGCAACGCCCCTACCACGCCCCAGAAACAGGCGCGCACCACCAGGCGGAAACACTCGAACAAGTCCACGGGCCGATGGAGTAGGGGAGGCGGCTCGTCAGATGATACCGGCTCCGACCGCAAACCCCCCACCTCGCAGCCCGTAGAGCCCGCGCAGAGCGCTGCTCGCTCACCCCCGACTGCGTCCAAGACGCGCCAGCACCCCTCTATTGCTACCAACACCGCCTCGACGAGCCAGCCGCGATTCATGGCAACAACCTTTGGCGGTCCTTCGGGTGATTCGCGACGGGGAGTCGTCTCTCCTCGCCCTAAGGGACGCGGTATGACGCAGCCACACCTTATACTACATGTCATGTCTGACTGGCCTATGCAGAAGCGAAGAACACCCTCTGCCGCAATGTCACCATCTACGGACATTGCCGGTACGAAAACAGTAAGTGCTGCTGGCCGCACCTGCCGAATCTTGTGGTGACCCTGTCTAGCCTGCCCCTACATCCACGACACCCTCAAGCTGGGCCAGAATGAGAACGCCAAAAAGAGATTCAATGTCGACTCTCCCTCTTTCACGCCTCTGCAGGCAAGCACCAATGGATCTGTGACCCCGTCTTCTCGCAGTGCCGCCATCTCGCCCAAGGCGGCCAATGCTGCCGTCTTCACTCCCAAATCGCAACGCTCCGGTGAGTCCTGGGCATTCGCAAATGACTTCTATATGCATGCTGATCGTCTCAGCCGTCACCACCCCGCATATGCACGCGAAAGAACCCGCCATTGATTGGAATTC